TTACTATTACACTGTTATTTTATACAATATAGGCAACTGAATGCTTTTAAAGGGAAATTCTGAGAAAAAATTCTAGTTTCCCTGAAAGGTTATTGAAGTCAGTTGGAAAGAAGTTATTCACTTCTGCATGTCTTAAATGAGTTGTAGTGAACCCTTTCAGAGGATTTTTAATAAAGATAGGCATTTAAAATTAAGTAACAGTCTAGAACAAACAGCAAGCAGTTGTTGTAACATGAGATTGCACAGATTATTTCCTGAGCTGCAAAGGAAGCATAAGAGTGAAGCATTACATGGACAAGTTTTACAAAGAAATCTTTAAACCCATAGCTCTTTACTTGAAAACCAAGAAGTGAAAATCAAAACCTGTTAACAGTATTCTGAAAGGATCTGTACAATGAACAATATATGTTTCCTGGAAAGAAACTAAATTTTCTCAGATTAAAATCTGAGAAATTTCTACATTCATTTTCTCGTATGAAAATATTATGAATACCTTATAAGTTAATTCAAACTGATGAACTAGCAAAATCTATGACAAGGTATTACAAAGAAATTAAAAAGATGGATAGAAGAGAGGATACCAAAAGGTAGCCAGGACCAGACACTCAGTGTAAAATAGTCTATCAATCAATAAGGCAAAGACACATAAAGCTGAGGAAAGGTTATTGAGTTAAGCACTTCTTCAAAATAATTACATGATTTTTTTTTTGATTGGTTGGTTTTAATCATCAATTAATTGCATGACTCCTCATGTATTTAATACAGATCAGCCTGAAGAACACACACTGTACAGGGAGAAAAGTGGACCAGGAAGATAGTGAACTAAGCATTGTATAAGGTATGTCACTCTCATGTCTGTCATCTTTATTAAGCATAGAAGACTCAAGTTCACAGAGGAAAACCGTGACTAGCTGGAAAAACTAATGTGCAAAAGCAATTAACTGTTGCTTGCAAAACAAAACAAAATTATCAATTGCACTTGTCTATTATTTAATTTTTTGGAATCGTGGTGTTTTAGCAGCACAATATTTGTATAAAGAAAATTAAAAGTTTAATATGGGAATCCTGTAGAAATGAAGCTCCAGGTCTGCATGCACCATTATTCTCAATCATTATTTTTGCTTTATCCAGGAACAGACATAATGTGTCTGAGAGCAATTCTGAGTCCTATATGCAGCATCAAGAATCTTACTATAGTGAATGGTTTGGTGTTTACTCCTAGGAAAATAAAGACATGTCAAAAATGCATTCAAAAACATAAAACATCCACAGAATATGGGGTTTATGTTAATAGATTTTAAAAGAGGGAAAACACAGGATAAGCATCATACATTTATGTTCATTATAAAATGGTTTTGAATTTCCAATAGTGTTAAGCGAAATAATTTGCAACATTAATTTTCATTTGTTTACTTTATTTGCTTGCTTTATTTACTTTGATTTTATTTGTAATATATATTCTTCACATCAGGACCCTGTATCATTCCAGGAATATCAATTTTATTGCTAACTTTTCCCTATAAATTCATATCTCTGACTTGAAAAAAAATAATTATAATTTTATTTCAATTTTAGTTCTCTGTCAATGTCAGTCATCGAATCATGAAACAAAATGGGAAGAAGTCAACTAGAAGTACTTACCTTTAAGCATGGAAAATAATGAGGCAGCAAAACTTCTTGATTATTCTATTATAATTGAATGGAATACAGCTTATTTGAATTCTTGGAGTAATTCATATTAAACAAATATTTTGTCCAAGTAATGCAAATGGTTTCAATACATTATGTTATTCAGCTGTATGAGGACTGGAAAGAATTTGCAGCATCTTCATCACAGACGGAAGTATGAAGGGAAAACTTTTGTGTTAGAATTGCTAGTGAGGAGAGTTTGTAACCATGTCTTATCACTGTATGCCAACTGCAGGTACTTTAGAGCCACTGTGGTAGATAATTTTTCCACTGCATGGGTTTTTCAGTCTCCTGAGAATTCTTTCATTTGTAAAACAGATTCCTCTCCTCTGTCCTCTTCCAGCCATCAAACAAAGCTTACATGTACAAGGTTTCAAGATGATAAAACTGTTGGTCTAATTTTTCTATAGGTGACAGTAAAATATATTACTGTCACTCTTTCCCCTCTGTCCACTACCAGATACTATTCCAATATTCTCCTCCATCCTCCTGCTGAACAGAACTGATCCAAATCATCCCTTTGAGATGCTTCTGCATTAATTTAATAATCATACTCAAGACTCAGATGAGTCAATATAATTTCCTTTGGAAAAAATAGTCTGAGGCAAGGGAGGAATACTGATTGAGAAATTTAAAAAACACAACATTGAAAAAATGTGGAATGATATCTTATGCTACTGACAAGAACAACCTGAAGGTTCAAAGAATTAGTAAGAGCTTTGGAAAATGCACTAGTCTCTGGTTTCTGAAGATTTTATACACCATAAAAATAAGGAAAATAAAATAAAAAGAAGAAAAATTTCCTAATCTGAGCTTCATTTATTCATCTTGCACTGTTCAGGATGTTCCAGGTGAGACAAACATTTTTGCTGGGATCTGTGGGAGATGATTTAACTTCAAGATATGACTGAGGGGATTTCATTGCCTATCTTCCACCATTGCAATGCTGACTTTTATTATCAGCCTCATGGAAATACTTTTTAACAGCACTTTTTCTCTCTTTCAATTGCCTTTCTGCCTTAGTTCTACTGCATTTTTATTGCCCCCATCTATCCAAGTTATGCCATCAGCAACCACAACAGTTTTTCTGGGAAAAAGATACACGTATTTCTAGTACATGGATTCAACATCTGTTTGTTTGTTATCATTGTCTGCAAGTAGATTAATTTCACCAGGGTCACTGAATTTCAGAGTTTCTTGATAAACTTTTTGTACACAATTGCAGCTTGAAATAGGGCTATAAGATAGCTGGAAGGGGAACAATATTGTGAAGGTGTTTCCTCCTGCTTTATTGCATTCTGTCATCTACTGCTGCTACCATTTTCAAAAGAAATCACACAACATGGGCAAATAAAATTCAGGAGGACCACTGCATCTTATCATTTCATTTCATAAACTGTGTAAGGACAGAATCTTCTCAGAAATACAGCTCTTATTATAGAAACACCAAGTACAAGGGGTATGTACAGCATAAGGTTAACAAAAACTCAAAGGCAAGATCCTAACTATACTCAAGAGTAAACAGGACCAAGTCCCATTTAAATAAGAACAGCTGAAATGACAGAGTACAATCCAACAGCTGCCATGAACCTTGCCCAATCATTTATGACTAAAAAATAATTTCCAAATTTCTCCAAAAGAAAGAACTTTTACAGACTACAGACATAGCAGTGATAAGCTCAGATTTTCTGGATACTGGAATGCCAGTTCTTTTTCTATGGCTTGAAACATTCTATGTAATATTACATTGCACCTCATTCATGCTACTCTTGACATCATTCTGAAAAGAAAGGCACTCACAACAGCATTTATGCTTTGAAGGAAGAAAGAAAATAGTGCAGCCAAAAGACTTTTCACTGCTGGAGAATGACCACAGTACTCTGAACTCTACTGACATAGTGGTTTACAGTAAATTTGAATGTATCCAACCATGTGAGAGAAAATTAAGACATAGGAAAACACATATGGAGACTTGAGCACTGTAATCAGGATTTTATTTGACTTTCCTAGGGGCCTCAGATAGGTTAAACCACAGATGCAGGAAATTTTAATGTCTTTTGTGTAAAATGAGTCTAGATGACTGATTCAAATGACAAAAGATCATTCCACAAGCAAAGAATCATTCCTTAGTTTTAAGGATGTAAAGAAAAAGCGAGTTTTGAGATTTAATAATAAATATTCAGAATTTTAATAAGATAAGTAGCTAGCTAATCTCCATACTTGTTATACTTAATTTTAATTATATGTTATCTGTTTTTTATATGGATAATAAATATGAGGATTAAATGGTTGGTCAAACAGTTGTATCACAATTTCTTGAAGAGTTCATGTGAAAAAATACTTTATGCATACTCAATATGCATTTTTATTCCCTCCCTGATGCCCAAGAGGACTTCAGAAAAAATCAATTTTTTCCTAAAGAACTGCACAGCTTCTCAGAAGTTCTGGATTAGGAAATATTACAAAATTTTTTTGTGCCTTCATCAGTCTAAACAGACAAATAGAAGATAATCCAAAAAACTTTAGAACGCTAGAGATTTGGAACAACTCATGTTTATACACTGCTGTCATCCAGTGTTCTCAGAATTTCAAATACCTCTAGGAGGTCCACAGGGCATTGCAAACCTGAGCATACCAAATCAAGATGGCATTTGTGTTAAACTGTGTAAAGGTATTTTTAATTGGAGAAGGCCTATAGTCTCAATGCATACACTCCTACAATATTTGTCCAGTTCAGAGTATGGATCTAGATTTACTAGTCATCAGAGAGTGATAATTTGCTGTTTAATTTTGAGAATTCAAGACTATTACAAACTTCTTTTCACTTTTATACTGTCTTTAAACTCTTCTGTTGTTAACAAGGACAATCCCAATTCACAACTAACAATGTGAGAGCAAAATATTTCTTCTTTGAATACAGACTCATTATGCAAAACATAACATGTTTACCTTATGCAAGAGGAAAATTAGCTTTCTGGAGGAAAATGTTCAAGGAGTAAATAAACTCCTGAGAGTTCTCCAGTGGAAAAATATATTAATTTCTAGTTTTTAATAATCAAGGTGAACTTACAAATGACTACTTTCAATTTTCTATCTGTAATAACATGCTCACTGACTGTTATTACAGAGTCATTGACAGAAAAATATTTGATGTGATGATGAAGTTTTCAGAAGTCTTCAGTGTATTAAATGTACTCAGATCCTTAGTCACGGAGGACATCAATTGAATGCAATTATTAAACATACAAAGAATTTAAACTCTTGTTGTACTTATTTTACAGATTAAATGATTTAAATTGTTTACTACTTACCCCTGTTCTTTGAACTTCCAAGAAAATTGCTCTTTGAAATGATTTCTCCCACACTGCCAATTCACTGCCCAGCTCTACATTGAAATAATGGCTCTTGCCATGTCCAACCATAACACTGAAACAATACGGCCTCTGGTCTTCAAGATCGAAGTCCTGGTGAATACCTAAATACAAGTTTGCTTGTAGCCAGCAATCATCAGCAAGCCAGAGCTGAAAGACATGTTTCAGTATGTGATTCTTCATCTGGCAAAATCAAACAATTGAGGCAACACTGTCTTCTGTAAGTGATGGGTACTTGGATTATACTATGGCATCATGTCAACAATTATGTTGAAGAAATGTTCTAGGAATTAAATAATTATTTCAAAGACAGCTTCTCTCTTTGCTTCTTCTTTGCTTCATGCCCTGTCTTTTAATCCAAGCAACTACTGCAGCTCCAAAGTACTGTCAGAATAACGTAAGCAATACATATATAATTTAAAATGTGTTTGTACCAATATATTGCTTACAGTGAAAAAAGAAGGAAATCCCTGAATGCTACAATACATGCCAGGAGCCGTGTACCAGCTGGACAGGAGGCTATAATTACTCTGTTCTACTTGTGTTCCAATATTCTAAACCCCAAGGAATGCAGTAATTTATCAAGCACCCCAGGGCTAATTCTGGAAATGACAACATGAGTGTGTCCTGATAGCTGGCAATGCTGTTCTGTAATTACAAGGAGACTGAAGCAAGATCCTGCCATAACCTTCAAGATAAAGAAAAACCATGTATTAAACTTTCATAATAAAAAATATACCTGCAATAGAATGTTTTGTAAATGCAAACAAATTACTACAAGAAACTTCCCTAATATTCAAGGCTTCATTGATTAACATAAAGGAAAAGAAAACTAGATTAAAAAGCTACTACTTATACATCTAAGTACTTTCACAGCCTGAATTTCCAAATCATACGTATTTTTATTTTTCTATTTATTAGATAGACCCCTTCCCTATCTCCATTTCTCTGTGATATAATGGGCCAGAAAAGACTGAAACCCCAAAATAATTAGCAATGATTTGTGGGGCATCTTGGGAACAGCACATATTGCAACCACAGTACACATCACTGTGTTGTCAAAATTGACCCTGCAGCTATCTGAGGAGAGAACCGATTTGAAGAAACTCACTTATTTTACAACACTCCTTTGTACTGTTGAACAGGAAGCTGAACAAAATTACTGCATATATTCTGGTGTTTAGCAGCTATGGAGTGACCTGTATTTCATCTGCTTCAAGATTCAGTGCTGCATATCCTGGCTTGTAGATTTACTGTATTAGCTTTTTTAATTTTTGATTTTTTAATTTTATTTTTTTTTTTTAATTTGCATGTGAAAATACCAGGCAATAAAAGAAAATGAAATGTTCTTAAGACAAGTGACTTTAAAAAATGTACATGATTACAATAAGAGTTTGAATTATGAGGCAAGCTAGAAGAATAAGCACATGTGATGCAAGACATTACATTTCAAATCATCAGGTTGCTACCACCAAATGACCAGAAATATGCAAGGGCATATTATATATATAGATATACATGAATTTTAATTCACGTATTTGTATGTATGTATTCATACACCTAAATCTAAAATATATCAAACATTCTGTTTTAAAATTTAAGATCCATACTGGATTCTTATTTACCATGTTCAACTCTTGCATCATAATAAACATAGATGAGAAGTCAACAATTAGGTGTGTAAAAATTAAAATCCTTAAAATCCATCTTTCATGAGAATGTACAATAACATTCCCCTGCAGTTTTGCACTACTTCTAACCAGCTTCTGAAAATCCTTAAGAACACCCTCCCCAAATGGCAGCTTTTACAACATAACTCTATCATGTGTAATGCAGAAACTTTAATCCCTTACAATTTTTTTGTTCTGTTTTCCTCATTGTCATTTATACCAAAGAATCAACAGAAAAGAGGTTAAGGAGTTCAATTTGAGCTTGTGCACTTTAGCTTATGTATTCATGAAGACTGGCAATTAAGCATTCATTTATTAAAATGTCAAGAACATTAAAGAGTTGAATCTTGGGTAGTTTATTTCCCTACTTCTTTTTCTTAATTAAAAAGTACTACAGAAGTTGCTGTAAGGACAGAATATCCTTGAAATTACCATAATATTCCAGGAAGAACTGAGTTTTAGCAGTAACACTTCTAGGAGAAAAAAACAAAACCAAAACCCAAGCCACAGCAAAATCTTCTCAAAAGGCTTATTGTCTACATCATTGACTTACTTATGAACCAAAAGTAAAATTATAAAAAATATGAAGGAGACTAAATAAATGATCTGTGACAGAACATTTACTTTTGTTGGTATCTTAGCGATGGGCAGGACCTGAATTTGCCCATGTGCTCCCAGCTGGAGACATGGTCACACAAAAGCAATCCCTACAAGAATATGGCTCTTCTCCAGCTCAGCTCCAGTGCCTCTGGAGCTGAGCTCCAGTCCTGAACTCCAGGACTACTGTTTTCCTGTCATGGCAGTGCCAAAACACTTCCTTCCCATGTCCCGAATAACTGTTGCGCATCAGAAAAAACCACAACAAATAAAAAAGCCATTACAACACAAAACCCACCCCCACATCCCAAATTAAACGAAAAAAAATCAACCCACCAATGCTAAACAAAAAACTTTAAGCTGCTTCAGTGCAGGATCTGTTACAGATAACAGCAATAACCTGCAGTTCCATGACATCAGTGCATGGTCAAAGTAGACACAACAGAGAAGGGCAGCAGCTGGTGAGAACTAAAGATGACCTTTAACTTTTCACTGAAAAGATGATTTTCTTTTCCTGAAAATATTTTTTACTCTCATAGACAAATACACTCTCATCCTAGCATAGCCTTATGTCACCTGCAAGAGTTCTGTTTTTGTTGGAGAACAAAATTAATCTATCTGATGCAATTTATTAGACAATATATTCTGTAAGTCAATTATTTACACAAAGTGCTAAAATTTTGCCCCAAATCTTTGCTAGGGACAAGCTAGACAGAAAACACACAAGAAAAAAACAGTATCATTATGATCAGCAGTGTGTTTCACTGATACTTCATACAGCTCTAATCCTGAAAACTTCAATAAGAAAGCATTTTAGTAACTTGCTCACTTGAAGCCTAACCCATTTTCCATGTTCTCTTATATTTGCACAGCTAATGCACTAGCAATTGCAAACAGTTTTTTATAACAACAGATGAACTATTTGAATGCTAATTATTCCTAGTTGAGATTAATTTGAGTTTATCATCACCAGGAAAAGGTAAACTTTCTTTACTAAATAAAATCATTGGAACCATTGGCAAACCTACCTTGTGAATTTTAAACAGAACCTCACAGAGGTTATATATTTTTTCAGCTCGTACCCAGTCTAGTGTGCTTACCTATAATAAAAAAAAAAATTATCAACATATTCTGTATTTGAAAATACTGTTCAGATAAAAAAAAACAAAAAAGGTTTCACTCATCATTATTCTACTGGATTCTTTAAATACAGACACATCACTACATTTAACATCCAGCATTTAGAAAAGACTGTCAAAAAGTATTAAATTTTTACAGACACAAGAATTAGAAGGTGTTAAATAATTTCATTTTTTCCTTTTCCCAGTATGATGGAAATCTCTTTGTAATCTCTATGGTTAGTTACATAAGCATTTTTATTTCTCAAGATGCTAACACAGAGATCTCAGTCTCAGAGTCATTCAGCTTCATGATTCAATATTAAAAAAATCTTACAATCAATAGACCAAGATGTATTCCTAAATTCAGTTTTGAGTTTAGATGCACTAAGGAGGCACTAACTCAATATTTAGTCTAAAAATAGAAAAGGACTTTGTGACTGAAATATTTAAAATCAAGAAGAATATCAACTGTGTGCTCAATAATATGAAAACACCTTTTTTTTTTCTTTTGATTTCATTACTTAATCCTGTTGACATAAAGAAAAACTTGTTTGTAAAACATCTTGTATATGTGGATGAAACTTAACAAGAAAAACTATGAAATTCAATAGCAGATTCTTTTTCTCTATGTTCACAGTAGAACATAATACACTTTTAAAAACATCTAGCATTTCTCCTGATGACTTGCATGGAGACATCAACATGTTCTGGTTCTTTTAAAATTCATTTTCAAGTTTAATTTTCAAGTCACTTTAAATTCTAAACTGAATTGTGATACATTGATTGTAATAATTTGATGAGAATGCAAACCACTACAACACGTACAGGCCTCTGATAGGATTTCTGTTGGTTATAAAATGTTACTTCAGAATCCTTTGGAGAAGTAATGTGAACTTGGTGTTAGTTTCTTTCTAATCTTAACAATCTGAATTAATTCTTAATAATCTAGCCTTCTCCCAGTTTCTCTTAGGCTTGGATTAATTTTTTGAGATTATTAAATTTACATATTATGAGCCACCTGCTGAAGTGGGACTGAAGAGATCTGTAAGTTCTAGCGCCACATCTTCTCAGGCTATAGAGGGACTCTATAGGATTCTTCATTTCACAGTTTCTATATCTTAACAATCAAATGGCAAACATCACTTGAATACAATAAATCCACTAGAATATGTAAAACAGGTTACACAGTTTGTTTTACGCTAAGCAAATTAAAGTTAAAAAAAATTAAAGCTCATAACATTATATAGCTAATTTTAAAATTACATGATAAAAGCACGTAGCACTACTTAAACTTTTTCAAATTTAAATCTAATGTCAGCTGGTTTAGAAGTTTAAGGAAATTTTAGGTATTAACTTGTCCTCCCATTACTTTATAAAAGGCAGCAATTTTTAAAGACATGCCTTTCTATTTTTTAGGTTTTCATTTCTATTTTATTTCTTGTAAGTCCATTCAATATTTTATTTGAGTTCTGCAATTTAATTATTGTACAAATAACAAATTATGTAAGTTTTGAAACAGAGGACTTATAAAGCTAATTCATCAAGAAATATACATCTAACAGGCTCACAATAGAGTAAGTACTGCAGGTCTTTGCTTAATCTTATTTTCAGGGAAATATTTTGTACTTTGATGGTTGTTTTGAAAAGAAAAGAATTAAATAATACATGTTTTACCCCATTACTGTTGATCCTCCAAAGGGGTACTCATGCTTCTTACAAAATAAGGTTTAGAGTAGAATGGGGGTAGTTCATTATTTGGTCTTGAATTTCTCAAAGGGAAAGGATCTTTTCCATCTCATTTAACAACAGGAGAACCTCTTATTGCTGTAAGTGGCTAGACATAGAAGTATAAGCATTGATTCATTTGCTGTTTTTGAAACTGAGTTTGGTGACATGGGCTGTGACCCGAAAGCTGTTGAGATATGAGTGGACTTTCATTTGCTCATACCATTTGTTTTGATTCCTGAAGATTAATCTGAACTGCTGGGGGTTTTTGCACTATTAATAATGGACGAAGGTGACACTGCTGTGCCATTAAATTCATTCTGAATACTTCAGACTTCTTCCCATTATTCCATGCATCTCTTTGATCTTTTGATGCTGTGTAACCTCATATGACTTTTTCAACATAGGCAGGCAGTGACAGTGACAACTGCTGGCACCTTCATAAGCCAAGGTTTTCTTTACCTGTGTATGTCAGAGAAAAGCTACCATACTTACAGAGTGAAACAGTCTGAATACCACTGTGTGCAAGGTGCTCAGAACATAAATGACATGTTGAGAGGAATTTTAGGGAGGCAAAATAAACATATTACAAAGGAATACTAGAATCTAAACAGACAGTTGACATTATTTATAGTTTTATCAGAACTATCACAGTACGTCTAAATTTAAAATGTTACTGTTATAGACTGTTTTACTTTTAAAAAACCCACAAATATCTTCCTAGTCAGGAGAAAAACTGGAAATAATCAGGGAAGTTCATGAAAATTGCAATATCCTTCATTTGATTCAAAGAATGTTCCAGTTTATTGCAGGTTATCCATCATCACACATGTAATAACTGGGTAATAAGTAACTAAGATAAATGAGATACTCAAGTATATTTCTTAGGCAATAAAATAGTTTTCTCATTATTTCCCCTTGGAATTGTTCCTGCAGGTATTCTATACATTGCAATTTCTTGGCATGACAGTATTATTATTTTTTCAAAGCATTTGACAAAACATTTCAAACAGCTGTATTCAGAATAGATGACTTAATAAGACATGCTTGAATTCATATGAATTTAGTTCAGACAGTTTCAGAAATAGTGTCAAAATGCATGAGAGTTTCAATTAGCATTCAGTAAGCTTATACTTTAATTCATGTTTGTCAGCTATATGAATTTATGACCAAGAGGAGCTGAAGGTTGTTATTTGTATTATCGGCAGACCAACTCCTTAGCTAACCCAGTGCAGTATCTATTGAATATTTGGTTCTGTAGACATTTAGCTACATTAATCCTTTAAGGAACATTGAAAAACTCAGACATTTGTAAAATCACAGGTAACACTGAGCTTATCAGAAAGATAATAAAACCAGAGTTACAAAAAATAGGAACCTGAAATTACAATTCTAAGTGTTTAATGAGGGGCTGAAATAGGTACATGGAGTTACAAAAGTCCAAAGTGTTGCAGAAGTGCTTTTTACTTTAGCATGAGTTTCTGCAATTTCCTCATGGTTTAAAATTAAGCATTATAGTGGAGTTCTGAAAATAAAGAACACTGGTAAAATCTAGCTTTACACAGATCAGGTGATCTCAGCAGCAGTTCAAACTCATATTCCAAATATTCTTATCTTTAAATATGTGTGTTAATCATTGGCTTTTCTTAAAAAAGTTATGATTTGAAATAAAGAGAAAGCAATAAAATTAAACTAATTTTGACACATACATGCAGTAAACAATTAGCTTACGAAGTTACTCCCTAGAAGAGAACTCTGCAATTATAAAACAGGCATAAAAAACTTTCATGCCTGATCAGAGATCACCACTAGATAAAGAAATATGGGGTGAATGTAAAAGAGACTCATACTCCAAAACCCACTAAAATCAAATTAACATAACATTCTCTTAGACTTTCTCTGAGCACAGAATCTGATTCTAGAAGTCTCCAGAGCCCCCCAAAATAATAAAAACATTTGAATAAATTTAAAGAGTAAAACGTAAGAGGGGAAAAAAGTAAAGTGTGTGTAGTATTTATTACTAGAATACAGCAAATGATGCATTATCTGAGAATTAAACAGAAGCATCCAATCTGCCTAGAAGTATTTAAAAGGTCTAAGGAGAAGATTAAATACTTCTAGGTAAAGAGCAATTAATTTCACTGGTCTCTTCACTCCTAAATAGAAAAAAAAAACCCCAAGAATAATTTTAAAAATTATTATGGAGTATAAAGAAGGAAAACAAGAAATCAAGGCCTGTTCCTGAGATAAACTATGATATGGCATCGTAAGAAGCCTAAAGATGCCCCAAACAGCTCAAACTGGGTGATACAAAATGCACACTAAAACACATCCTAGCAAATCCTGTACAGCAGAAATACAGCAAAAATGTGTAGAATTAGAAAGTTCACCAAAACTGTTCATGGTCAAGTCTAAGCCCTCCAACTTGTTCCCACCTTGCTCCTAATATGTTACATTGACATCAAGTGTAGTGTAAATTACCAGCAAAAATATTTAGAACTCACATGGCAGTATTAAAAACACTGCTTGTCTTAACTACATTGTGCTTCTCTATACTGTCAAATGTGGAACTATTTCTGTTACTTTCGCAATATTCTTCTATTTATTCTTTTCTTGAAATTGTAAACAGCACATGCCTTGATTGTCTATCTGTCTTCATGTTAAATCACTTCAGTGCTATTTATTTAATCACATTCAAAAAGATAGTTTTGCAATTAAGGGTTACACAGGAAATATAAGGATATGGCTATTTGAAGACTAAAGCAAAAACCATAATGAGCTATAAGGAAAACACAAAAAAATTAAACAATAGAAATGTTTCCTACATCTAGCCCATATTCTATTAAAACATTAAATTATTTTCTGAGAATTTTCAAAGATATAAAAAATAGCTTTATTTTGAATGACAGTTTAGAATACTTTTCCCAAATTTCTTCTGGGATCTCAATTTAGAACTTTTCCAATATCTGAAAATTGACAGGAATTTTACAGATGCTTTTAGAATATAATACAATACTGCTTGTATATTAAAATTGACACAAGAATAATTTCTATTGCTTCAGTGTTGTTTTCTAGTTATGCAGTTTTCAGAAATGGGTCACACTTCCAATACAGCAGTCTGTAAATGAAACCTGTAAATTTCTTAAATGCAATCAGATAACCCACTTCAGGAATGCAAAAAAGACAATTCTCTGTTAAGCACACCATTCTTGATATTTACTTCTGTGGTGAGGCCTCAACATTTCTGGAATTACCATCTGAGATATTGTAGAAATAGTGTATAAATAGAATATTACTTGTCAGAGTGATTTCTTTCATAGTATAATATCCTAATTTTTTCCACAATTTTCTTTGTTTTTGCTCATATATGTTTTCAATTCTTCTGAATATCAGCAGCTGTATTTACATTCACATCATTTTTTACACACAATGAAACAGAAAAAGGGTGGAGATTTTACTACATCCTTTTACAAACAGTTGTAAAATTAAGGATAAGGATCCTAGAGTGAGCCATGGGGAAGGTGTCAACAAAAGCCAGGGCTGGAGGTGCCCTCAGGAGACTGAGGCTTTAGTGTGGCTTTAGTTTAGAAACTTATAATTGGGTGTTTAGTTTTTAGGGATTATTCCCCTGATGAAGGACATCTGGGGAATGTTAAAAGAGCAAGAAAACTGGTCAACAAGTTTTATGATTTATAGATTCTGCCACACTTACTGGTGCATCATAGTATTGAGGGGACACAACACATGGATCAAAGGGATTCCCTTTGTTCATTTTTTGAAAGCTAAGCTTCCTACAAAAGAAAATTTAAAAGCATAATAGATTCTGTCAAGTAATTTATACTACCAATCATCCCCACTTGTCTGTTCTCACTCGAGTGCTGAAAATGGTAAATGAAGTAGTTTATCCCAAATTAGTATCATATATCATATAGATGAATAATTTTAATTTCTTAGAAACAGGTCTGAAGACAATAATGAAAATTTATTTAGGAAAATCATTCATATGATGTATTATTTATTTGTTTAATATTTCTGCATAATTTTCACGTTTTAATTGGACTGTAGTAATTTACTCAAATTTTAGTTCCTTGGCTTAACATATGAAACTCACAATTTTTAGACAGGGAAATAACCTTGCTCTTCCCAGATGTGTTGTCTCATTTTAAAAAGAATACTGTTGGCCATTTTAGGATGTTTGAATTTAACTGGAATCATTGGATTAGTAATTTCAATCTTGAAAGGGGAAATTTTGCTTATTGCATTTCATTGAGGTTCATAAACAACTTTTGAAAAGTATGTATTTCCCAAAGGTACTGCAAACAGTACACACTAAAGGATCAGATTTTCTTTATATCAGCAGACAAAACTGGGAGACTGAGCACCTTCTGAACAAAACTGTAAGCAAGTGGTATAACTGAAATTGCATTCTAAGTCCACATTTTATTCTTTTATGATTTGTTTAAGGCAAAGGTTTTCTGGAGAAAAAAAGAAAGGATTAAATATTATCATGTGGTAAGTACAGGTAACTTTTTTAAACAGTTTGGCATTCTACAGTTCATTTCCACTTCACCCTTCTAAATTAATTTTTAGAAAAATATTAGATAAGCCACCTGTTGTGAAACAGAATTCTTGTCATGAGGTATATAAATTATCAAAGCAAGACTTGTTCAAACTGTACACTTAGTACTTTGATCCCCTGCTTGTGTGAAAAACCCACAATTATCATCCAGTATTATGGATGGTTTATTTCATGATGTATCTTGTCTTTCAGAAAGCAGAGTAACTACCAATTCATTACATCTACAAAATACCTTAGAATAAATAAGGGAAGAAATATTAGGCCTAACCAACCAAAATAAAACCTGACCTTGACAACTTCAAAAAACAAAACATCCCATAAGGAATTCTTTACACTATTCAGATACAGCAAGGTTTTCAGAGGACCTTGAAAGAGGCTAAATATCTACAGTTTATTGAAATTCAGTGGCAACTGTGACTTTCACTTACATTGAAATCTCAGCTGAAAACTTCACTTGATAAAGGAAAAAAAACCCAGACATAACAAACAGGTTTCCATTTACAATGAAAATTACACAAAAATGTAATTTTTTTTTACCGGTGGAGTGCTGAAAATGTAGAACGATGAACCCTTCAGGGCCAGAAACTTGAATTTGTAGAGCTGAGATGAATCAGTTCCTTCAAGTCTCTCATTTACCCATCCCATATGTATGACCTGTAAAAGAAAATAATTGAAAATTAAAGTTCTCTTTCTCAGTGGATCATAAGAGAGATTTTAGTAGAACAAGATGCATCATCTACTTTACATTTGCTTTCCAACCATTTCCATATTCTTGAAGTGCACAATGTCATACCAGTGTGTCAGAAGTCCTTGAAGAGACTTAAACTTATAGTACAGGTAGTCTGAATCTTATCTGAAATAATCCCTGTTTTAAAAGCCACCTATGCAGGTCAAAGCAGACTCTCATTTGAGCCCACAGAAAACTTACGTGTACTGAAGTAGTTCAGCAGTTTATAAAAATCATAATAGCTTATCTACAACAGTGCCAAAACTTGGACATATTGACATTTCAATTACACATACCTCTGAAGAAATACCTCTAAGCAAATCAATAGATTAATCTGAAATCAAACAGCTTTCATCATGCTCATATTTGTAACTGTTAACGAAGTCTTTGCAACACTTGTTGTCTTTCAGAGTTTATACCTTTTTTCATATACACTTTAACATATTTATGTTTTCAAAGAATTAGATATCAAATTCAGTTGGTTACACAACATTAGCAGTGTTACAATGAATGTTACAATACAATTTATTTTCCAGATAAATTAATGCTAAGAAAAAATGAAATGAAGAAGTAATATTGCATGTTTCCCTTTTGAGGTAAATACAAATTTATAAAGGAATGCCATAAATAATAATGCCATAGTGTGGTAGCAGAATATCATTAATGTCTTTACTGAAAAATAACAAAGCAAAAAACATTCCAGGCTCCATTTTGCACACATTAAGAGGAATATATTGCTCTTGAAACAGATACTTAATTCTAGAGTGAATCACTAGTCTGAATTTACAAGTACTGCTGAGCAGCTTTCTCATTTTCAATGAAGGCTATACTTACAAACAGAAATGAGTTATATGGGGAAGAAATGCCAAAGCACTAGCTAATAGTATGGATGAATGTTCATACCTATGAAAATGTCACAAATTGTTTTCTAATGTTGGTATTTAATGTATCAATTATATCTTTTGTCAATAAATTTATCAATAAATGAAGAATAAATCAGTATGTTGAGGCAGACAATCCTTCTCCATACTGTTCAACTGAGCTCCAGCACTAAAAATTTAAGAAGAACTAAGAAACAGCAAAATAAATACAGTAGCCCTTCCAGTGGCTGATTTGCTATTCTGTAAATTGAATAACTCTCACCAAAACATTGTTTCTATAGTAGTCAGCAAAAGCATAGAAACAGGATGTTCAGACACTGTATTACTTTAAAAAAAAAAAAAAAAGATATTATTGTCGATATTCTACTACAAAGATATTACATACTCAGTTAATCGGGGTCTTAATATCAAGTAACACAGATGAAAAGAATGATATCCAATATAATTTTAGAAGCTTTTACTTTCTTTCTACAAATCTTTCTTATTGACTGCTTTATTTAATGATCATTTAGACCTCAGAAATGGAGAAAGAATAATTATTCAGTTCAACAAAATCTGTATGGAACAAAAGCAAACAAGTGTTGGTACTCAGTAATAAGCTCTCAGTGGTTTACAGGGTTACTGAGATTTTAAACAGATTTTTATTGAAACCTGACATTTGAAGTTATCAGGAGTGCTCATAAGGCATTATACTACAAACTGTTCCTTCTCAGCACTGCTTTCACTACTGTTTGAAAATTACCCATACATCATTGATATATTAGTTTCTAACATGCTCTGATACACTTTCCAAAAGTTCCTGTAAGAAGAAAATGAGCAATGGCACCCATTACAAGGAGATAAAACAAGTCACTAACAAAATGCAATCCAATCATAGCAGATAAATGAAAGTTCTTATTTGCACTTATTGTTTCCCTACAGCAATAAAGCAGCTAGATGTTGCAATAACTAGAACTTCAACACATTAAATTTAATAAAGCACTCAGAACATGTTGTATATTGTACTTTTTGTTAAATACTTATGAAAAAGTAAATGATGCAAAACACTCAGGAGGGAATTGAAGTAAGAAAATCAAGTAGATCTCTATGTACAACACATCAGAACAGACAGATACACTTATGTAATTGAAGTGGGATAAGAATCTACAAGATCTTCCAGATTGACCTACAAGTTAAGAACCAGTGTCATACCAGAGGCACAATGGAACTATAACTAATTAAGAAAGCAAAGAGAAGTACATCTTAAGGCACCTTAAAAAATAATTTTTGGGGGTCTTTTCCAAAACAAGTGGTAGATGGTAAATTTTGAAGTGAACAGCCATTGGGACAGGACTGGGAGGGGGGACAAGCAGTCCTTACAGAGACACAAAGTTTAACTGAAAAAAAAAAAAAAAAAAAAAAAAAAAAAAAGGGAGATTGGAATGCTGTAAGTTTTAATGTATTACATTACTGGTTTCCATTGTACATCAGTTGCTTTTAGCTATGTCTGAATGGCCACAATTCAAAACTAAATGTTCTAGAGATTAAAGTATAGAGGAATTCAGAAATTATGACACTCAGGTGTTTAATGTGCTTTAGTTCAACAATGAAATTTATAACTCCAAGCTGGCACAGTTTGAACACCACAAACAGCAACATATCCACACTATGCTGAAGGGAACTATGAAGACAGGTATGTATCTGAATTCATGTGTCCTCCTAGGCATTGTCTGCCTGGGCAAAATTTAGATTACAAGTCCTTTTGGGTAGCAATAATGATTTCTACTCTTTGTTTGCTTGTTTTAACAAGAAGGCTGGTAAATTCGACCTGATGTCTCTCACCTCTACTCATTACAGCCTTCTTGTTCAAGCTAGGATCCAAAGTAGAAAACTGTCTTGAAGACAGCTACCAGCAGTAAGTTGCTTTACTGGTTATACATTCTTATAGCAGATCAGGAACATTACTTATGCAGCAGGAACTAATCCAACTAAAGAAAAATGGGAAACTCACATCCTTCACAACTCACTTATTTGTTTGTTTGTTTATTTTTATTATAGGTCTGCTTTGTATTTTAGCAATATTACAACAATATCAACAAGTGGCAAAATAAAGACAAAACCATTTCAAACTATAGTTGTTTATCTCATGGAGCATATTTACCTCACAGCACTGCATATTAGCTGACTAGAGGTTAAAACATTTAGTGTTTTTAAGTGATACTTCTTCTGTTATAGTAAGTTTTTTCAATTGACGATCTGAGGTGACAAAAAAAGTCTCTAAAGCAAATCAAGGCGATTTCATTAGGAAATGAAAAACTGTCATCCCATATAAATAAAGTAAAATAAATTACCAAAGAAGATCTCTATTCTATCTTTATTTGGTCTCTTTATGCTTAAAGAAATTTAGTCCTTCTCCCTTCCAACAAGCGTAAGCTGTAAAATTACAGTCTTCAAGAACCTAACTTTTCTAGACTATTAGAATAAAGTAATTTTATTGCTATATGTTGTATTTTTAAAAACATTTTTCTCTGTTTTGAGAAAAAAAAAAAAGAGGAAGAGAAAGGAAGAAAAAATGGTCTTTCAAGAACAGGTACAGGGTTTCTTGTATGCTGTAGGATGAAGCCAGGCAAACATGTTGATGGCATGCCTGCACTAGCAGTTCTGCTATGAGGAACAATGAGAAAATCCTTCATATTTGACAAGTTTCTTATTTAGAATTATGATCTTATAATTATCAAACCACAGTAGAAAGAAGGCTTCTGAAAAACTTATTCAAGGGAACTGGATCCAGATCAGACCCCTTTAGCATTTCTGAAAATTTAATTTAATTTCATTTTTGAAGGTGAATCATGTATACCTAATATTGGATTCTCCAACAAAATCTGTGCAACTGAAATCTGTACAAACAAGTATAATACTTTTTAAAAATATTTAAAGGTCAGAAGTTGTCAAAAGCCTTTCTGGAATAAAGACAGCAACCTCCTGTCACAGATCTACAGGATATACACAAGAGAAAATTAGATTTGTTATTGACAAATCCTTCAGGGCAATCATTTGTCATATTTCTGCTCCACACAGGTATTTTGTTTATTTATTTCAAATTTCTTTACAGGGATTGAAGTCAAATAGACTAGTCCCTAATTGTCCAACTTCTCCTTCTTTATTCAATTAGCAACCATAATTTTTGCTCTTTCCTAATGTTTAGATATGCCATCTGGCAGACACAAAACCCCTGAATTAATCATGATAAAAGGTTGGCTCTTAAAAACATAAGAAACTATTCAGCAAACAAACCAAAAAAAAATTGCAAGTATTTTTAGTTGTGCAGAGAGAGAATGGTTTAATTTACATTCATAAAAAATAAAAATCAATCCAATAGTAAGTATTTTTGGAAAATTTAGTCCCAAATCTAACCAAGAACCAAGTGCTTTCAAATCTCTAGAGTATTATAATAAATTATATCAAGCAAAATCAGAAGTTATGATGCTTAGATGCTGTGTGCTTCATCATTGACACAGGTTAAATAGACACTTAGAACCAGAGTTTCAGAAGTGCTACTTATTTAATGCCTTTCAAATTTGTGTAATCCCTGAATATTTCTTAAAATCTTGTAGTCTTTGACTTGGAGTAACTATCATGGCAAGTCTTGGTATACCTAGAACTTGGCAAACACTTTTCACAGACAGTCTGGGATTTCAGCTTTGGCGGAAAAAATTTCCAACAGGCAGTTCAAATGCAAACACCTTGCTTTGGTGGGAAAAAGGAATTTAAAAGTGTGGAAGTAGCTGGACCAATTAACTTCATGACCTGGTACTGTTTATTTGAATAGTATAAATAAATCAATAATAACTACAACTTCTACTACCTTGTCTAATACCTCTAACTTTGGGTCACAGACACAGCAAAAAAATCACAGAATCAGAGAACCACAGAATACTCTGAGTTGGAAGGGTTCCACAAGAATCCCCAAAGTCTAAATTACAGCCTTGCACAGGCCAAACATCATACTATGTTTGTTTGACATCTTTTGGCAAAGAGACCCATAAATAAAGCTGGTTTAGACCCAAGAACCAGTACCTCAGTACTTTCCCATATTCTTTATTTAAATGCATATCAAATTCATTATGTTCTGGAGATTCAGTTTGCAGTAAAAGCAGTTGGAGGCAATATCAAAAACAAAGAGGAAAGCAAGGTTTAACAAAGTAATTTTTTACATTCTCAATAACCCTGAATTCTAGTTTGTTAATGGCCTGTGAAAACCAGAATCTGAATGAAACCTATCCACATCTAACCTCCTCCCTTTATGAAAGGTTAAGTTGGACTCTAAAAGCAATGAAGAAAACTCACCACAGGCAACACAGTAATGAAACTCTAAGGATCTGTTTAATTCTTCAGGAAATATCCATGCTCAAAGAAAAATTTGCAGCTATCACCAGTTTTATTTCAAGGCAGTTCAAGTGACCTTCAATCTCTTAAGGTTATCCTTTCTCTAAATTTTAAACCAAATGCCTGAATAAGAACTATTCAGATCTTTACAAATATTACACAACTGTCACTAATAGGCTCCATTAATCTAGGGCAGAACTAGTCCTCTTCTGTTTTCAGTTTTCATTGACAAGTTTTATATGATGCTTTTGTGATATATATACCCAAGAATTCACATTTTGATTGCTTTTAAAGCAAAATTTCACAAGACATATATAAAGTCTGAGTTGTTCACAATTGGTCCTTTAATATTTTTATGTTTTCTAGTTTTGTTTACTTGATCTGCCCAAATTCATTATAAACTTTTTTTTTTTCTCACTTTTTGGCAGAGAACAATCCAATGTTTGTTGCTGTCCAAACTGTTTGGAGAACAATGCAATGTCTGTTGCTTCAAAATTTAAGCTGCACCTTAAATTTCCAACTTCTGAAATTAAGGTCCTAATTGTTCTCCTTTTTATACTTGGAATGGAAAAAGTGGGATAGATTTGTCCCACCTAACTTTAGGCACCTACTTTAGATGGTAGACTGGGACAAGTCAAGATAGTAAAAGTGGCTCCTCTAAAGGATGATTTAAAGCACTGTTATCAAGTTTCACATTTGAACAGCTCTCTGGAACAGAATAAGTTTCTGCACTGATTATTTAGGCAGTTTATGGAGACTAGCCTGTTTACTTAGGAAATCAAATTATGTATCTAGTGGTATCTACATATTTATATGACTGTCCCCAAAATTTCTGAAAATTGAGGGAAAGTCCTTTTTTCAACCAAACTCATTATGTGTGCCCAAACTGATAAGTAAAAGGTCTGAATAGTTACTAAAGTACTTGCAGTAGACAGCTCATACAACAAAAGGTATCCAAATCAAATATTCCAAATCAAATATTTTTTCCCCTGGCACTCATAGTCACGTGTTTTTCATATTGGTTTAATTAATAATTAAAAGCCATAGCAAAGAGAGTACTTAAATCACAGAATTCTAGAAAAGTTTGGGTTGGAAGGGAGCTTTAAATGTAACAGAGGTCAACCCCACTGCAAAAAGCAGGCACATCTTCAACTAGATTAGATTGCTCAGAGCTCCACTAACTTGACCTTGAATGTTTCCAGGGATGGGGCATGCACCACCTTTCTGGAAAACCTTTCCCAGTGTTTTACCACCCTTCATGTAAGAAAAACTTCATCTTTATGGCTAAATCAACACTCTTTCAGTTTAAAATCAGTACCTCTTGTCCTATCACAATATGTTCTGCTAAAAGTTTGTCCCAGTCATTCTTATAGGCCACCTTTAGATACTGAAAGGCTGCAATAAGGTCACCCTGGACCTTATTCTCCAGGTTGAACAGCCACAGCTTCCCCAGTCTCTCCTCAGAGGTGTTCCATCCTTCTGACTGTCTTTGAGGCCCTTCTCTGGATCTGTTAGAGTTGGTCCATTTCCTTCCTATTTTAGGAGCCCCAGGGCTGGATGCAGTGAGGTCTTACAAGAACAGAGTAGAGAGGCAGAATCACTTGACCTGACCTGCTGGCCACTCTACTTTTGATGCAGCCCAGGACACGGCTGGTTTTCTGTTCCCCAAGTCCTCCCTGCCCTTCAAGTGCTTTATCACAACTTCTAGGGGGATCTCTCCCATGATTTTCCCAGAACATGGATGAGGCTCACAGGTTGGTACATACTGGGTTCCTCCGTTCTAGCCGTTTTAAAAACGGGTGCAATGTTTCCTTTCTACCTTTCTACTTCTCACCAGGGGCTTCCCCTGACTTCTGTGACTTTCCAAACATCATGGAGAGTGGCTTGGCAACTACATCAGCCAATTATCTCAGGACTTTAGGATGCATTTCAACAGGTCCCATAGACTTAAGCATGTTCAGGTTCCTGAAGCAGTCACAAATCTGATCTTTACTTACAGTGGGAGGGACTTTGCTTTCCCATCACCAATCTTGCAGTCAGTCAATTTTAAAACCAGTTAGTTTTAAAACTGACTAGACGTGTATATGCAAGCTCTACAAATTTTCCAACAATGTAATCATACAAATTTAAAAAATTGGATAATATAATGGAAATCTTACCTGGTCAGAGGGAGAACAGCATTTATTTGCCATTTTCATCTATGAAAGAGAGATGGAAGAACACATAGAGCTATTAGTATGCTGAAGAGTTTCTGTGATGCAATTAACACTGATTGACTTAGTTATTGAATAATATATTAATACTTCCAAATTATATTTGTAAGAAATTTTATCATTCAGTGCCTAAATACTATTTTTATTATTAAAGTGAATTTGCAAAACCAAGGACTTGAAAGACAAAAGCCTTTTATCAGAGTTTGCCTTAAATACCTCATAGAGATTTGCATTTAAGAATTTTACTTTGCCAGTCTGAGTGAAAATACCATACTGTACTGTAGACATCTCACTTAGGTCTCAGTTAAACAATTGCTTAAGCAGATTCTTAAATGAGGTCTGTAATTAAGCTCCTGTGAAATGATGACCATGGAGTATAAGATGTATTTAAAGCTGAAATGAAATTGAATGGGCTTTCCTCTTAGTTTACTTTTCAAGACAAAGTTTTTCCACTTTGTTTAGATAGAGTTTCAATCATTTTGACTTTTCTCTGGCAGTCATAGTTTGGACAGATAAGTGGTGGACAAATACTGACATATATAGTACACAAATACTTCTTTAAAGTGTAACATTTTCTAAAGTGTAATTTTATTAAGTACAGGTAAGAATTTAGAAAGAAATATATTAGCATGGAAAACCACATTCACTACATGCTAGGAGTAAGCTGAAAACTATCCTAGAGTTGATGAATACTTCCAAAGGACCATGCTGTCAAAAAGCCCATTTTATTAGAAACAAAAGGCTTGTGGTGGAAGAGCAAAATCCTACACCTACGCACAGGGAAAACCACAATTGCCACTGGAAACGAGCAAAAGAAATCCAGGGTTATTGCTTGTAAGATCAAATCTGTGGATGTAACTCAGTTAATATGGTGATGCCATTGACTGTTGTGGTGGGTTGACTCTGCCAGCTGAGCACCCACACAGGTGCTCACTCCATCCTCCCTACCAGTAGGAAGGGTGAGAGAATAGGAAAAGCAAGAAAACTTCTGAGTCAAGATAAACAGAGCTTAAGTGAAAGAAACAAGAAAAATTCAAATTATATAAATTCAATTACTCTCTGCCTCTGTGGTGGATTTGCACTAATTGACATTTGGTGAGGAGGGAAGAAGCCAACCACAAAAATGATTTTTCTGGGAGGGGCTGCTAAGAGCTTCTTCTACCAAAAAGCAATAGCTGGCTAGCTCTGAGAATTGACAACCTACTGAATGATTTAGAAGCTGTGTCCACCTCAGTGAGATTCACATTTTAAAGATGGGCAAGCCTGGGAAACCTCTCTTGGCTTCCAGCTTTTGAAGAGGGCACTGGTTGGATCAGCCCCATGCGGCCCAGCCAAGATTTTCAGCCCCCTGAGGGGTGGTGAGTGGGCTGCTGAGCCCCTCACTGGGGAGTCCACCAGGTCCCGTCCCACCGGGTGGCTGGGCTCATTTCCCAGCGGGGCCAGGCCCCTTCCCGGCAGAGCCCTCAGGTCTTTTCTCCAGCAGCACTGCTAGCCCATGCCACCCAGGGCTATATTTGCACCGGGAACAGCCATGCATGTGGCCAGGACCAATGCCAGGAGTGGCCCTGTGGTCAGCACTGGGGATGACCCTGAGGCCAGGAGCGGCCAGGGGCCAGGAGTGGCCACTGCCATCTCGTACTGGGAGCAGCCACATGGCTGGGACTGCGCGGCTGAAATCAACGCAACCAGGCCAGTGGCACGTGGCCGTGGCTGCTTCGGCATGGCTCCCAATGAACTTTGTTTGTTTAGCTGCTTTTAGCCAGCCATGCTGCGGACAGAAGGACAAAAATGGCAGCAGCAGCTTTTCTTGTTTTTGGTGCTCCACATAAAGAACAGCGCTGAGTGGATCTGGCAGCCGGAATGGCTCGCAGGGTGTCGGCAGAGACTGCGTGACCAGCAGCAACAGGCGCAGCAAGTGATCTCCCTGATGCATAGCCTGGATGAGATCAACCTTTCAGCGCTGCAGAACTGTATAAAAACTGTTTTGATTGATAAAGCTTGAGAACAAATGAACCTACAAACACCAATTCTCTCCCAAATCAGGAAAAGGAAAGGGTGAAGACACATAAGGAAAACAACATGGGACACTGAGGTCAGTAAAGGAGTCAAATTCTAGTTAGGAGAGGATTGAGGAGATGCCTTGGTCTTGGGCTGAAATTCTCTTTGTAAGGCTCTGGTGAAGATATATTTTTGACATATCACACTTCTTTTTTTCCCTGTAATTCATTAAAGACATGGGGGGGATGCAGCATTCACCTGCAGCCCATGAGGAAAGGGCACTTGTGCTGGAGTATGTGCATGCTAAAAAGCTGTAATCTAATGAGAAGCTTGAACAGAGAGAGAAGAGAAACTCTGCCCCAGGGATAAGAAGAAGATAGAAGAAGAAGATTCCAAAGATAAAAGAAGAGAACTTTTGGGTTTTTTTATCTTAGAACAGCTCATCCTTAATACCCCATAGCTGACATGGCCCATGAAAGCAGCTTTGGGAAAGCTGCAAGGCTTAGGAGGAACTTTTACACTGTGAACAGATTTTCCTTTCCTGAGCGGCTGATTTGCTGTGACACTGAAGCCACAAGAGAAGCGTTTCTTGTGGAGAAGTCTCCATGGCATGGTGAGAGAAACTCCTCTCCCTACAAGAACTGATGAAAGACTATCGTAGAGGTGGAAACTGATTGAAAATCCCAGGTTTTGTCTCTACATTGTCAGAGGGAAGGAAAGGAGATTATGGGAAGGGGAGAAGTGTTCAGAAGGTTCTATTCTGATTTTTATTATTATTTTAGTTCTGTTAATAAAGTTTTCTCTATACCTTTTAAACTTTGAGCCTGCTTTACCCTCCTAATTCATATCTCACAGCAAGAAATGAGTACATACTTCTAGTAGGTGCACTGGAGATTTTAGCCAGCACTAAACCCACCACATTATTTGGTGCGTTGGCTGGGAAACTCAAATTGGCGAACCTGAACCACTACAGACTCCCACAAGCAGGCTCCAAGCAACTTAGAAGACAAACCCACATCTCCTTTCTCCACTATGTAATTTCAATTGTGGAGCACAGTGGTGTGGAATATTTCTTTGCTTGGTGTTTTACTAATGCTGTTTTAGCCACAATTACAAAACACAGCACCTGATGCTAAAAAGAAAGCTACACCTACCCCAGCCAGACCCAGTAGACCTGTATGGGCCAAAAGACTTCATGTTAATGACTTCATGGTAATGACACAGGCCTCAGGATGTGTCAGGATTTATACACACACATACATACACACACTTGCACCTAATTACAAGCCACTGTTCTCTACAGAGTGAAGTATCTATGATCATAAACAAAATAACCTTAGGACAAAAGGCAATGTGGTAGAGTAGGATGACAACAGGAATCTTGACTGTATGGACAAAGGGTGATAGCAATGCTCAGGGCTGAAGTAAGTCCTAACCCATCATGGGCCATCAGGGTTTCTTCTTCCTCATATGCTCATTTTTCCAGCCCTTTGGAACGAACTGTGCTGTTAAATGGTGCAGGTGTGCTGGGGGGTCAGACAGCTGGGAATAACTAAAGGTCTGAGGTAGAGGTGACCAAGCTGCTGGGGGCCTGGGGCATCTGCCAGGCCTGTCTGTCACCCTGGACTGTGGGTTGGGAGATCCTGCCAGGCTCTCGCAGTGGCCCTGCCAGCTCCCTGCCACCCTAGAGGAGGAGAAGGTCATCACAACAGCTGCAGGTCACAGGCTGCAGGTGTTGGAACCCATAGCTTAGCACAGGCAGGGAACAATGATGAGGATGGAACTGAAATTCAGCTGCTGAGCAGACAGAGGGGTACCAGCAAGGCTCCTGGCAGGTCATGCACAATGGTGTGCCTTTGTCAGCCTGGCACAACTGCAGGGCTTCACTGTGCTGGGGATGGCCTGGAGGTGACTGAGCTTCTTGGTGCCCACAGGACCCCATCAGTAAAAACAAGCTGGAACTCAAGAACCTCACTCTGTAACTTGGTTAAAACAAATTGCTGACATGCCCAGTGTTGCAGAAGGAAGCAGTCACCAGTCCAATTTGGTGGTGGGTTTAATCCTGCTAGAGCAGTTGTGCAGGACATAATGAAATGACACCTGGAATACTTCAATGTCAGTAGAAATGCTGATACACCCTGCCCATCATCAGATCCAACCTTTCTCCTGTGCCTCAGACACAAATACATACACAAAGTAACTATACAAAAGCCATGTTATATGCACAGAAAATATCCAAAGTCAAGTATCAAGTATCCAAAACCATACTTAACCAGAAGATTATAGCACAAACCAGAGCAAGTAAATGGGTTCAGATGTGCCTGGAAAAAAGTGTGTCAGACTGGCCATGCAGGTTTCCTGCACCAAGTGAGTAGTATATTGTGAAGAGCATCCCCATCACCAGCTCAGTTTTCCATTGGTAAGGATAATAGGGAAGAATGCTTTGGACTCAGCAGCTGTTCACTGCACAGACAATACATTCCCTGTTCAAAGCAGGATGTCTGCAGCCCTGATGTAGCAGTGGGGAGAGGAAAAGATCTGCTTCTATAGCATATTATATCTATATCCCAGTGTCATGGGGCTGAGAAGTATGAACTCTTCACTTCACCTGGCACCACATGTGCCCTTCACATGTCTCCACAGCTGGTGAAGACAGACAGAACGCAAATGTGCTAAATTTACCTTGCTGACAGCACATGAGCAATACTCAGTACTGCAGTGTAGAAATACGAGCTGGACACAGCGGGGGAGCTAAAACAGAAAACCTGGGTCTGCAAAGACTGCAGGCAACCTGGAAAGGAACTATTAAGAAAATTGCAATTCCTATACTCTGTTCTAAATGGATGCATATTGGGCAGGAACTGAAATGTTTCACAACCAATTACTTAAATCTAAATACCTCCCAGGTTGGGATTTATCTCACATATAATATACCTTTATACTCTTTCAAGAAAACAGTGCAAGTGAAGAATCTTGACAGGAACCTATTTTTCTCCTAGCTATATTAGTATCCTATGTGACTGCTTGGCTGAGTTTAGGGGATGTGGATCTTATCCCTACTGACTTCCCTTTGCAACTTCTACAGTTTGAACTGTGGTACTTGGTACTTTCAACTGAAAATTTTGCATTTAAAACAACAAAAAGAAACAGTGAAAAAATAGTGTATGTTCTGATTCTGGGAATAAAATTGTTTGTATAATCACTGAGGCAGTCAAATTTGTATACTGCTTCTTACACACAAGAACTTCACTTCCATCCACATGTACCCCACATTCTGCTGCTGTGTAAAAGCAAATCTGTCTCAGTCTTCTTTCTTTTCCTTTTTTTAATGTATGTTTAAAGCTTATATTTCATAAGTCTCTTCCTGTTACAACAGAAATTTCACACAACTGCAGTACAGAGTATCACTCAGATATGTGTTTACATGAAGAAATAAAAAAGGTTTACAGACTATGACATATACAATTAAAAAAGCTGTCATGGGCATAAATGTGATCTGGATTAATAACCCTACTTTAATACCAAATTTTAAGTTTCTACCATCCTCCAATAAAACAGCTGCAATGATTTATAAAAATCATAAATAATATTTAAAGTAGAACAAGTGCATCATAACTTGTTCTATGATCTACTTATGACCTACTAATTTATTTGCTATTTTTTTAAAAGAAAGTAACACCATTAGATTATATTCGGAAAAAGCTACAAAACCTTGAGAAAATTTTAAATATAAGAAAATCTCTGTAATGTAAATGAACTGACAGCATTACCTTTAGGTGCTTCTACTGATTATGACTAAAGTTATGTTCAGTGCTAGATTTCAAAGAAAATAATTACGAACCATGAGAAAACCTGCATATATATAATAGCTGTCAATCTGAATGGTGGAAAACAGAGAGAAAAATATAAATTATCCCAAAGACCTTCTCCTAAAAAATCACAGCCATTACAGCATTGTCACCTCAGCCTACAAATAAACCTTTAGCTCAAGAATTAAGCACAAGAGCAGTAAGAAGCACATACAGATTAACTTTTTTCCTGTGCTTCTTGTTTCATCATGCAAGACTCACTGCCAGTTTCTGTTACCCTTTTTCCTCCAGTTTCTTTAACTTTTTCCTTCTGCAAGAAAAGAGGTGTATGAAGAAATAAATTTGAGGTACTGATTCACCTGTATTTATTTCTGCCAAAGGTAAATGCAAAAAGCTTTGAAAACATTGAAAATGAGGACTGAATCACAAAGGTAGGGTAGTTTCATGCTGGTAGAAAAATATGTGAAAAAACAGAATACGAACAGAGAGATGAATCATTTGGGGCAAGGGTCCTCAGAAATAAAAGTGAATGCATCTTGCTTGTAAAGCTGACTGTAACTACGAGATTCTCTGAGCTAAGCATGTAAAACATGTATCAGCAATGAGGGCTGAAAAGACACCCTTACATTTTTCTCCACATTGCAGCATTCCCTGTGCTCCTCTGTCATCTAAGAACTAAGCCCAGGATGGTACCAGAATCGTTATCTCTCATCTACCAAGCAACACTAAATATGCCAACATACAGGGGCAGCACTCCTATGCAGTGACAACTTCCCACTTCTCCACTGTTGAAAGATAGCTCCTCCTCTACACTTCATCCACAGAGAGCTTGCCTTTGTACAGAAGTTAGATGTTTCAGTACTTCAAAAGAGTAGTCTGACATTAGCAGAAGTGTCACATTGTGGCAGAGCTATTTTTGCACTACCTACACTGGGACTGTCTCCTGGCATCAGCAGATCTGACGAAGAGCTGCTGAACATGACTGAATTTGGGTAAAATAAAAAAAAAAGAAGTCTATTAGGGTAAAGTGATACAGGAAAGATTGGGTGCCCTGTACGAAAACAATTAATCTGTATAAGGAACTCTTTAAGAATTAAAATTCTGAAAGAAATTATTAAAATGTAATCCAAATATGTAGGACAAAAAAATGTATGTAAGACTAACACAAATAGGTCCAGTTTAAATTAGAATGACTAAGGTGTGAGAAAAGCTGCTAAAGTAATGAAACAAGCATCACCAAACTAAAATATAAAAATGCATGGAAGTAAAACATGAATAATGGTTAAAATAATTGCTTAAAAACCCAGTAATAGTTCAGGTAAGGATGCTGATATTATGCCAAAAGTGTTAGCAAAAAAGTTCATTGTGATCATGTATCTAGTAATTAATTTCCAAACTGAGATGATGGCATGGGACAGAATAAGAAATCAATATTTTAACTATTTTGAGAAGCAACTGAACTTTGAGTCAGAAAGTACTCATGGAAATAAACCATAACCAGATAAGGAACTCTCTGAAACAATTTCTGAATGAGTAGTGATTTTCTCCAGTCCTAGAGAATGGGGAGATGCTCTGCAGAAGTGGAGAAGTGCAGAAACAGTAAGAAGCTCTGAAGGAATTACATATTCATTTCCTAATGTCAGTGTCAGAGGTATGATAAGAAAATAATCACTTTTTGAAATTATAAAACCATAGTAATAAAAAGGATTCCAAATGGACTTCCAAGAAGCCTAATTGAAAGGCCCTGTTCTAAGCACACGGATGTCCTAAGCATGGATGATGGTCTGTGTTTTTTGGTTGCCCAGAATCACAGAGTTGTCCAGCCTTCTGCTATACTTCAGCCTCTCAATCCTCACCTTAAAAGTAGTTTGCAACAAAAGCAATTCTCACTGACTCCATCTCCCCTTTTGATGATCAATAATTAAATAAATGCTCTGGTCAGACCTTTCCAGTTGTACCACAGGCTGCACGCCTGACAAAATCTCTAAAGCTACTGTGTAAGCAAAAATGTTAACATGCTTCTTACATGAGCTGCATAGAGTTTACTTTGTAACTCACTAAGAACACAAAACACGGACATTCATCATGACTTGGTTCTCAAGCCCTTCCTGGGAACAGCCAGTTACAGGAACACCAGGTGGACTATTTTGTTGACAGAATTCACTATTAATAGATAATGGAGAAGACTAAGTACTCAGTTTATAATAAAATATTGCTGCCAACAGGTTGCAGCACAATGAAGATACTGTATCAGGACACACAGTTACTGCACACAGTCCTTTAAAAAAACAGACTAGCACCCTATGACTAACAAAAGCTGCCTGCATTTATTTTTATTCTTATTCACTTATATCCTTGGAGTGGCTTTTATTCAGTTAATTTCTCTAGAAAGAAAAAAAAAAAAAAGCTTAGCAACTATGAATTGGAATTGCTCTAGAAATATTACCATACACTTTCTTAGAATTATCAAATAATAATACCCTGTACATTATGTGAGTCGCCAACTAGTATTTAAAAATAGTACATCACAAGAAAAATGTCTTTTGACAGAGATTGCTTAAGCAATTGAATATTTTAAAAAAATTAACAGAATAAATCAACTATTATGATCAAATGTGATTCATGTTTTTTTTGAGGACTAAGAAAACAAATTAAATATTAAGTCTGCTTTAACCAACAGACTTAAAGATTTATGTTGAAATCTAATACAAATTCTACACATTATAATCTGGAGACCTAAGCAACAGTTTGTTTAGAGTATAAAGCACAAATAATAGCCTACTGAATCATAATTTATGAAAGAAGTTACATACTTTACACATATAGAGAAAAAAAGATTAAAACCTGCACAGGCAATTCTTTCTTTTCTTATTGTGTTTTTATCACTAAATTTTATCATTTCTTAAAGACAAATATATTTTCATTATTGTAGATTATTGAGTTCCCTATTTAGCTTTATGGTTAATTCTGTAATTGTAAATATTTTTATCTCTTTGTTGGAATAATAAATGTGCTATCCAAATAATAATTTTCTGTTTCTCTGGGGATTAGTTAATACTTGCAATACTTGTGCTTGCAAAGGCAGTTGTTACTTATTAATTTAGAGGAGTAATTTAACTATGAGAAGAATTTTTACATGCTTCACATGCTTGTTTCAAAATCAACAAGTGCTAATTTCAAGCACAGTTTAACTACAAAAATGTGAAAATGAAATACTAGGTCACATTGAAAGCTCTGTGAAATTACCAATATGGATAAATATTTTGCCATAAAAATCTTTAAAATTATAAACATAATCTGAGTTTCTACTGGTTTCTGTTCTATGCTAATACTGCAAGCATTGAAAACTTATTGATACTTTTGATCAGGCAACCTCTCGCTGCTTTTTCCTTTCTCCTTTTCCACCCCATACACAAGCATTTTATATGTTGTTCTTAAAGGTGAATTGTTTCTTACCCTTTGAAAACTAGAAATAATTTTACAATAGCATAAACAAGAAAATATGCAGGAAGTAACATACATTTTGAAGTGTCAAATCACTGATGTTAGTTGACATTGCTCTCAGCCAGTCAGCACTCTCCTGGGCTGTATAAAACTGAAGTATCCCAGTACTAACTCCATCGAGTGCCAGCACTTCAAATGCATTAGATCTGCAGTAAGAAGAAATATATCCGTAAAGGAAGATATATCAGTTTTCTGAAACTGCCCAATATTTATCAGTGTTCAAGTGATATTTATGCCTTTTGACAAACTTTTGAGTGTTTAATTTGCCAATCAATTGAAAGGCAAGAAAACCAAGGATAATAGGGCAGTACCAAGAGCAACAGATACAGTAAGTACTTTCTCTGTACCAATATATACATGTGCCGATGATCATCTACTTCCCCTGGGTATACATATGTTCATAATTACTGAACTTAAGGTAGTGTAATCAGGAAATATGCATTGGGTCTTTTTGAAAAAAACAAAACAAACAAACAAAAAAATAGTGTTTTTTTAAACTAAAATGCCAATTTTTATTAATTGAATTTTGACTTCATTTACTAGGAATGTATGAAGATTCAAAGCACTGTCTTCCCTAGCTTTCATTTGTTGGATTCCTAAACTTTCCCATGTAACATTCAAAGTAATGCTTACTTCAAGCACTTTTATATCATAAGACTTTGAAAAATATTCTTAGAAATTTCTTCAAAAATTTTCCTTAGCCTTCTCAAAACAGCACTGGCACAGGCTAATGTCTGTCCAATTGCACTTTATAACTTTTAATCAACTTTTATGTGTTTATAGCAACTTTATTCTGCAAATGCCAATGCTTTCCTTTCCTTACTATCTGCAGTAAGTTAGGCACTGTGTATGTACCTCTGAAATCCCTTGCATTTGAATGCTGGTGGGATATGCTTTTTAATTTAAGATTTTCCAATAGGAACAAAAAAAATCTCATTAAGTAGAGGTACAAAAGTACACTGATCTAAATTTTAAAAAAGTGACATATAATACTTGCAGTAACTAAACTTCAAAACGATATCCAGATTATTTAAATGCCTATGATAGCCAGGAGAATTAGATTTTAGTTATATACTACTGTGAAAGAACAATTATAATTATCTCAGTGATTGTGCATAAGTTTGTTTTGTATATAATACAGAGAGTATCACTGCTACCTTCTACATTTGTAAATGATGTATTTATACCTATATGCTATATTGCTCAATTTTTGGTACCAACCTAGAAGAAAGCTAACTACTGAATCAGAATACTGCTCTATGAAGTTGCTGAATCTTCCTGGGGTTCTCTGATGTAAGGTGAAGACCTCTACTGCTTAACTGATGATATGTCAACATTGAAAATGACATATTTAATGTCATTAATGGGTAGTTATTCATTCCTGATTTACCAAAAAAGTTATTAACCTAACCTTTGTCATTGGTAGGGAGTTTGATGGTGAACATGAATACTGAACTCTGCATGCTTGCCAGAGTAGGTAATGTAAACCACCCATCATACACAATAAGACAAAGTATCTGAATAGATAAGTATGAGATGCTTTGCTTTTCAAGGAGTCATGAAGCATTATATCTGCTGTTTTCAAAAATTAAGATGCTTGGCCTGGAGACTTAGATATGTATTAGCTGATTGCCTGTTTTCGTTTCATGATTGAATAATCACAGTAACTACTAAAATTTGATGGCAATGGCACAATTCTGTGTCACTTTCATTTCAGTAGTATCTTTCACCTCTTCAGAAAGAAAAAAAAGATAAAATCATTTTACTGCCTTCAAGTAAACTGAGTAAAATAATCACCTCCCAAGCATATTGTTCTTTTTACCTAGGGTTCTGACAAAGATCCCAACAGTGTTGTAACTTATGGTATGATCACTTCAACATCCCACTGAGACAGTGAGAATCTGTCAGCCCTTATGCACTGATACACATTGCCTGGAAGCAGACCTAATTTAATTCTGTGAGGAGAACCATTCCCAGTGCCCAGCTTAGATACCCCATTCAAATATCAAAGCTAAGATGCTACGATCCTTACACAGCAAGAGGACTGTCCAGAGCATTCAAGAGAGGCAAGCAATAGTATGTGCTCCATAGAACCACGGGATGTCTAGACAGTAACTCAGCTTCAGCAGACATACAAAGACTTAAATGCCTTATCCCAGTGGCAGGAAGTTACATAAGTGGCTGATGAAAGATCACAGAAGGGAACTCCTTGGCTAACAATTGATGCAACCAAAACAGGCAATCAAAATTAAAAAAAACCCCACCTTTTATTATAAAAATTACCAAATATTTTATCATTTGAAACATGATTCTGGTGATAGAGTGGATTACACTAAAACTCCTGTTCTTTATCTTATTAAAACATGGCAATCAATTACAGACAGTTAATAATATACAATATTCATCTAGAGATCTAACACTTCACTAACAGAATTTTTACACAGAATCAAATAGGGTGTGAGAGGTCCTGCAAGTCCTCTACTCCAGCCTCCTCACTAACTTTCTTGAAATACAAATCTTTCCCACAGGAGGACCAAAACTGGACACAGAGGGAGCTATCTCAGGTGTGGCCTCAGGAATGCGAGTAGATGAGAATAGCTGAGAACAACCATTTCCCTTGCCTTGTTGACGATGTTATTGCTAACACAGTCCCTTATATGGGACTTCATCACCAGACCTGTGCTCAGCTGATTCCTGCTCAATGGGGAGACTGCCAAGATCCCCAAAAGCCCTTTCTGGAGCTTGTTTCCTTGCTCCAGCACACTGACACCAGGATGTCTTTTCTCAGAGCTCAGGCTGGTTCAAGGCTTCTGATGTGCCAGTGGTGGTCACATTACCAGGCACATGAGACTGAGACCTATGGGGCACTGCTGTCCCCACTGTGCTGACTTGGCAGGAAGATGGTTTGGCCAGAAAGCAGTTCAGTGTAAATGACGTAAGATAAAAAACAGGCAGGGTTTTCAAAGTTTATATATGCCAGTCATGAAGTCTACGGTAGCAACACAGTGTTTTTGCCCTGAAACGTAATCAACTATGATTGTTTTTTGCTTTCAGTTACAAAAATTTCACTCTGTAGATCCCATAATATATTGATATTGTTCCATGTACCACACTGTGTTCTGAAAAGCTTAGTGTACAGAATGCTACACGTAAAAACAGATATCCTAACTAAAAATAAAAGCTTAACAAAATAAATCCTAAGGCTTTTGTTTTAAGTGAAACAATCAAAGCATGCACCAAGATGGCACAGGAATCCACGAGAAAATAAATCCCACAGGCTTAAATTACATACACTTCTCTCTGCCATTTCCTCAAAACAGAGAGAAGAAAAAAAGACACAACAAAGCACTATTGTTAGCTGTCAAGGAGGAGCTTTTCATTTAATACCAAATAGTAAGTTTGAAAGGTTTCAAGATGCTATAAAGTTGCTGTAGGCTTTTTATTTTCTTTGCTGGTTTGGATTTTTTGCTTTTGTTTTGGTTTTTGGGTTTTTTTCTGAGATATCCTAAGATAATTTTAAAACACAGAGGAAATTGCTACATCTTCCATTACTGCAGTTATGATACTGACTACTGCAACTAGGACAAGAAATTGGTATTTTCATTTCCTAAATACTAGAAATTTGTGTTGCACTGCCATCATATTTCTTACCTTGCGATTTGTCTCCCTGTCTCTAACACTGTTTCCTTCAAGCATTTCTGCTAAGGAGCATGAGGCACCCTTTTCATACTCAGTATCTTTCTATCTGACTTTCACAGTGAAATGATGAATGGATCTGCATTCCTGGTCTCTTCTGGAGTCTGATTTATTTCTTTATTTAGGCATTAATTTCTTGCAATAAAATAAACACTACCTTTGTGAGCGTATCAGTCAGAATAACAGAAGAGCATTGGTGGACTTTAGGTTCTCTACTTGAAATTGACGCCCTTAAACAAATATTATTAATTAATATTAAGGAAATTTTTTTTTCCATGCAAGCAGTTTGCTACTATAGAGGTGTTAAATCCAAAGATTTCTAAGATAAAAAGTATTTTCAGTGCCAGCTGAAATGGGAAAAGCTGAATTTTTGCTTTACCAGAGCAAAGCATATTTTTATATTTTTCAGTATCTGTGGCATGTGAAACCATCTCTCTTAGACTTGTATAGGTATTTTATTATATAGATATTTCTACAAAAATCTAGATGTAGGTTTGACAGCATCTCTTTTATCTTTACTACCATACTGATACAGACAGACAGATTTGATCAGCTTTGCATCTTCCCAGATCTTGAATCAGTATTCCCTCCTGTTTGTATGATTTTTTGATGTTTGAGTTAGTTTTCATTGCTTTTGTTACAACATTTTCTGGTGGCTTGTTTATAGTACTACATGGCCCTCTTGCTAGAATGTCTACTTAAACTGAAGTTTTAAGGACTATGGGTAGATGGGAGTGGAAATTCTCCAAAAATAAAGGATCTGAAATAAGGATCGGAATTACTTAATCTCTTTGAAATGTCATGTTAGAAGTAATGGGATTTTGTATGGTAAATGTCACAGAACCTCATATCTTACAAAATGTTTAAATGTGCACAAATAACTGGACTATTAACAGAAACTTCATAGCTCAGAAGATCAAAGCATTAAACATAAACTTGGACTGCATTTTATGTTTGTGGTTTTTGGGTGAACATTTTGCTTCCAGTATTGTAACTTTTATTTTTATTACACTTACAGCAATCAAATAAGAACTGAAGCAATACAGACATCTATACTTCTACAGATATTTTCTAACTGATGTGTCAAAACTACGGGGAAGCTCACTCAGGTTTTGTAACTCAGTGAGGTTATGCAATTAATTCCTATATGTTTTTCAAAATGGTTTATTCAATTTCTTAGTTCTCAATCTTTTTATCTAATTAAAGGCATTTTGTAAACTTACTGAAATGATAAGTGGAAAATGCCATTCTCCAGAAAAAATCTGTTAAGAAACCTGTGACTGCATTAAAAAAAAAAAATACACAATACTTTGGAATAATTGCAATGGTCAGAATACCAATAAACAGAAAATAACACTTAAGTCTAATTAATTTTTTTTTTTTTTTATAATTGGCATCATAGATACATGGGCTGATAGCTACTGGGCCTGAATTACTTTCATTCCACTCA